CCCCCCCCCCCCCGGCGGTGAGGTCTGAGCGGCTTCCAGCTGGGGGCCCCCCCCAAGTTCCAAGAGCGTTCCCTGTGCACACACAGGGAATGCTCTTGTACTTTTGGGGGGGTTTAAATATCCCCCATATACTTTTTTCAACTTTTTGGATTTTTCTGCAAACCTGGAGACTACTCCAAGTGTGCAGGAAAAATTTCCCTGCCCCCAGGTGCCCCCGATGTGCTGATTTAGATATCCGCACGGAGGGGGCAACTTGGCTGTTAGATATATAGATATATAAAGGTTCATAAGAATACATAGTTCGTCGGCAGCGTGTGGAGAGACATAAAAAAGGCACTTCAGCACATCAACAGCGGCTCTAGCAGTGCAGTCATCATGACACTGCTTAAGGTTGCTCTTGATATCCAGGGTAATGAAACAAAGAGGCAGCTGGAGGAAAAGGCTCGACTGAACTTCACAGTCGCAGTGACGATGTTTCCCCCCTCCTTCGAGGCCCCTGGAGAAGAAAAATTCAATTGAGATTTGGGTCCCCCCACCAATGCTCCCGCTAAGTTGTGGAGTCTTGTGAGCAAGAACTCCACTTTGTGAGCGACTGGCATGAAAGTGGCGAGCGAGGGATTGGGCTGCTGCATAAGTTAGTTTCCTCTGGAGCCGTCCTCCCTGAGCCGAGACAAAAAATGTGTCAGCCGGAGGCTAAAAACGATGTCAGCTAAAAACGTGTCAGCCGGAGGCTAAAAACTGACTCAGCTTAGAGGGGACACTGGTTGCCACCTCTGGCTTGGGAAATTCCGGGAGGTGTGACGGCAGTGCCTGGGGGAAGCAGGGTTTGGAGAGGGAGCTCAGAGACACGTGGTGCCAGACAGACCTGCTCTGAAGATGCCCTTTCCCCCAAGGGAACGGGTACCAGCAGTCTGGAGAGCTACTGTCAGTCCAGGAGAACTTCAGGTCCCACCTGGCGATTCCCAACCCCGCCCTACAGAGGGCTATGTCTTGAGTGGCATTTCAAGCAGGGGTCATTTCCTGCGGGAGCGCACAGGAGCGGAGCTCCGGCAGTAAGGAGCCCAGGGGGCGGGCACATGCAACAAGCCCCACCCCCTGCTCCCAGCAGCCCTGTCGGGCCACAAGGAGCAAGAAGCAGCCAGGTAAGTTGCAGAGCCCCCCCCCCTCGGCCCACCTTCAGGTACAAGCTCTCCCTCCTCTGTGAGGGCAGATCTGCACGTTCCCCCCCAAAGTTAGTAATCCAAAACAGTCCAGTGGCACCTTTAAGACCAAGTTTTATTCAGGTACAAGCTCTCCCTCCTCTGTGAGGGCAGATCCCCCAATAGCTAAGAATCCAAAACAGTCCAGTGGAGCCTGAGCGGTGGGTGCTGCCTTCTGACACACTTCCAGTGATGTCAGGGTGTGTGGCATATGCAAATAAGTTATGCTAATGAATTACGTTAATGAGCTTCTGCGCCTGTTTTTCTACGAAATGACCCCTGATTTCAAGAATGTGCAAGGTTCAGAATACCCTGATTCAGGCACTTACATGCGTTCATAGAGGTCTTTGCTTGTGCATTCGTACAACCTCTTGTCGCATGGTCTAGTCGCATGGTAAAGCACTTACATACCAAAGCGTGATTCATTCAGTGAGAAAGTATTTTCCCCCTCAACATGAAGCTTCCCTCTTTGGGAGTTTGTGCATAAGAACATCAGAAGAGCCCTGCTGGATCCAACCAGTGGTCCATCTAGTGCAGGGCCATAGCTACAGTGGGGCATTTCAGGGCCTGGCCCCCGACTTCCTGCCAAGGCCCTCTGAAAAGTATGCAGGCAGAGAGTGATTTCAGCAAAGCGTACTTTATTCGATCAGGAACAAGACGACTTTGGCCGGCTTTCAGGCCGGCTTATATCCCCTGAGAAACCGCCACCCCAAACACACCCCTACTTCCCTATAGGTTATTTACAGTGGCCGAGAGTCCCATAGGCTCTCGGCCGGGAACCTAGCCCCCTGATTGGAGCAGGCTAGGATCCGCATAGTCCATTGTCTCTTGGAGCGAAGCTTGACGTTAGTCTCTGGACATGTCTGGACATGTCTGGACTGGATACATTACACCCTCCAACTTCCTTTCAGCCCAGGCCCCTTGACTCTCTGGCAAGATGCAGCCGCCGCTACAAACTCCCCCTGCGCCACCACTTCACCTTGCTTTCCCCATGCACTGCACCTCTCTGGGGCCGGCTGAAGCATGTGAGTTGCCTTTAATAGATTTAGCCAGTGCCCCAGTGCCCCCCGAAGAATTAAAATAACCCCTGACTTAGAAATTTCTGGCTACAGGCCTGATCTAGTCCAGCATCCTCTCTCACAGTGGCCAGCCAATCCCTCTGGATAGTCAACAACAGGACATAAAGGCCGAGGCCTTCCCCTGATGTTGCCTCCTGGCTCTGGGATTCAGAGGTTGCCTGCCTCTGGATTTCGAGGTTCCCTGCAGTCACCTTGGCTAGTAGCCATTGTTAGGCTTAACCCAAAACATCAGAGGTTATTTGAACAGTCCATTTTTGTTTATTTTCAATTCCATATGTTCTTGTCTTTGATTTCAGTTTGCCTCCTTCCTGTTGCTGTTGCCAAAAAGTCTATTTATTTTTGACGCCTTTTCTACACCACATGCCACTAACATAAACATATGTCGAAAAACGAATTCATGTTAATGTGGAGGGGGGAAAAACAGCACGAGGAAAGAGGAACTTGTGCGAAAAGCCTGAAAAGGGATATCTCTCCCAAGGGACTGTTAATATGCAAAAGAGGATATTAAAATTCCATATGTTCTTGTCTTTGATTTCAGTTTGCCTCCTTCCTGTTGCTGTTGCCAAAGCCTCTATTTATTTTTGACGCCTTTTCTACGCCACATGCCACTAACATAAACATATGTCGAAAAACGAATTCATGTTAATGTGGAGGGGGAAAAAACAGCACGAGGAAAGAGGAACTTGTGCGAAAAGCCTGAAAAGGGATCTCTCTCCCAAGGGACTGTTAATATGCAAAAGAGGATATTACAATCAACCAGGACAACTTTTTGAACTTCAGTCTTATCCCTTGGATGGTATCGGTAACACGAGAGTGGTCCAAAGACAATTAAAGCAGTTCATATGAAAAGGTTCTCTGTTCCCCTTTCCAGGAAAGTGGTTGCTGCATTCAGCCTCCGATTCTGAACAGTCTTCAAGGACAGTCCCCTATTGTGTTGCTTATGGTCGACTAGCTTGGAGTTCAGGGGAATGGAATTACGGGATCTGCCAGCTCACTGAGATCTGGGCTGCATTTCTGTTTCTCTCCCTGTCACCTGTATGGAAGCCTACGCGTGAACAGAGGCATGAGACTTTGAGCATGGGTGAAGGTCGCTGCTTCTTAGCCAGTGACCGGGACTGAGTGGCCCAGGGGATGCAGGACCAGCCTAGGAGTTGGCATACTCCATCGTCTTTGTTGTTTGGTTGTTGTTTGTGTTTCTTGCTGAGCAGCTTTAAGATCCCAGTGGGGAAGAAAGCGGAATGGTTGGACTGATAAACAGATGGACAGGCAAAGTCTACAAAGGCACCAAAAGCCACTAAGCTCTTTGAAAGCCAGTGTGGTGTAGTGGTTAAGAGCGACGGACTCTAATCTGGAGAACTGAGTCTGATTCTCCACTCCTCCACACGCAGCTGCTGGGTGACCTTGGGTCAGTCACAAGTTCTCTCAGAGCTGTTCTCTCAAGGGCAGTTCTCCCAGAGCTTTCTCAGTCCCACCTACCTCACAGGGTGTCTGTTGTGGGGAGGGGAAGGGAAAGGAGATTGTAAACCATACTGAGACTTCTTCGCGTAGTGAAGGGCGGGGTATAAATCCAATCTCCTCCCCCTCCTCCAGTAATAGAGATGGTAAAATTAGGGGGCAGGGAGCTTTTAAAAAGTGCATACCGTTACAGTTGGGAAAATTAGGGGGCAGGGAGTTTTAAACGAGGAAGAGGGTGTGTGTGTTTTTTTTTTAAAAGGGGGGGACCAATGCTCCCTCTAAGTTGTGGAGTCTTGTGAGCAAAACGTCTACTTTGTGAGCTACCGGCATTAAAGTTGTGAGCGAGTGATTTGGCTCCTGCATAAATGAGTTTGCTCTGGAGCCCTCCTTCCTGAGCGAAGACAAAAATGTGTGAGCCGGAGGCTAAAACACTGTGAGCTAGCTCACACTAACTCAGCTTAGAGGGAACACTGGGGGGGAGATATCTTTCCATTCCCGAAGCTTTCATTGCCCCCCCTGAAGTGAACGCTTCCCGTTCTCTTTGAAGACCATCACACAGACACAGGCAGGCAGGAAGCGCGCGGGTTGCTGTCCCCTCCGCGCCCTCCGCCTGGCTTTCCCCGGCACGGAAAGAAGGGGCGGACGCCGCGCATGCCAGAGAGACCCCTTTCGCCCCGGGACCCCTGGAAGCGGCGCGCCTCTCCCCCGCCCGAGCCGCAGTCCGCCCTCCTGCCGCGATTCTCTGGTGTGAGTGTGACTCTCGTGCGTCCGCCTCCGCCCGGCGCGTCCCCCTCCCTCCCCCGCCTTTCCCTCCGTCCTGCTATCCCCCCGCCCCGCCGCCCCAAGCGCAGCAGCAGCAGCCTCCGAGAATCCAACCATGCCTTCCTCCTGAGGCGGCGGAGCGCGGGCGACTCTCGGGGCTTGCCTCCGCGCCGACGATGCGGCCATGGCTCCCGCTGGGCTCCCTCCCGCCTCTCCTGCTCGTCGCCTCGCTCTCCTTCCCGCTGGGCCACTTTTGCCCGGCCGTCTGTAGCTGCCTGGACTACCACACCGTCGACTGCCGCGACCAGGGGCTGCCCGGCGTGCCCAGCCCGTTCCCGCTGGACGTGCGCAAGGTCCTCATCGCCGACAACCACATCCGAGCCATCCCGGCCGACTTCTTCATCTTCTACGGCGACCTGGTCTACCTGGACTTCAGCCACAACGCCATCGTCAGCCTGGAGGAGGGCACCTTCAGCAGCTCCGGCAAGCTGGTCTTCCTCGACCTGAGCCACAACAACCTGACCCGGCTGGCCGCCGGCGCCTTCAAGTCGGCCGCCCGCCTGATCAAGCTCAGCCTGGGCAACAACCGCCTCCTGGAGGTGGACGAGGCTGCCTTCGAGAGCCTGGAGCAGCTGCAGGTGCTGGAGCTGAACAACAACAGCCTGCAGACCCTGACCGTGGCCACCCTGGATGCCCTGCCCAACCTGCGCAGCCTCCGCCTGGAGGGCAACCCCTGGCTGTGCGACTGCGACTTCGCCAGCCTCTTCAGCTGGCTCCAGGAGAACCAGTCCAAGCTGCAGAAAGGTAAGCCCGGCTCCGGAGGGCGGCCTGCTCTAGATGGGGCCGGTCAGAGCTGGGAAGCTAAGCAGGGTCGGCCCCAGTTAGTGCTCCGGTGGGAGACCAGCAAGGACATTCAGAGGCAGGCGGTGGCCAAGTGCTTCTGTTCACCCTGGAAGCTAAGCAGGGTCGGCCCTGGTTGGTCCTTGGAAGGGAGACCACCAAGGAAGTTCAGGGTTGATATACAGAGACAGGCCATGGCTAACCACCTCCATCTTGGAAGCCTGGTAGGGTTGGGTGGCCCTGGTTGGTCCTTGGAAGGGAGACCACCAAGGAAGTTCAGGGTTGATATACAGAGACAGGCCATGGCTAACCACCTCCATCTTGGAAGCCTGGTAGGGTTGGGTGGCCCTGGTTGGTACTTGGACGGTAGACCACCAAGGAAGTTTACGGTTGCTATACAGAGGCAGGCAATGGCCAACCACCTCTGTTCATCTTGGAAACAAAGCAGGGTTGGGTGGCCCTGGTTGGTACTTGGACGGTAGACCACCAAGGAAGTTTACGGTTGCTATACAGAGGCAGGCAATGGCAAACCACCTCTGTTTGTCCTGGAAACTAAGCAGGGTCAGTCCTGGTTGGTACTTGGAAGGGAGACCACCAAGGAAGCTCAGGGTTGCTATACAGAGGCGGGCAATGGCCAACCAGCTCCGTTCATCTTGGAAACTAAAGCAGGGTCGGCCCTGGTTGGTACTTGGAAGGGAGACCACCGAGGAAGTTCTGGGTGGCTGAGCAAAGGCAGGCAGTGGCAACCCACCTCTGTTCATCTCTACCCTTGGTGAATACCACCTACCTGGAACCACAGAGAAGAGAAAGG